TGCTAAGAATAGACATGGAAAAGAGCTGAGAACCTTGAAATCATTTGAGAGACTGGTCAGACCGCAAGACGTACCAGGAACACTTCTCAACATTGCTCTGACTAACATGGCGAGTCCCGACCCGGTTCTACGGCTTGCAGCATACAATCTATTGTGTGCTCTTTGTCGAGCCTTTAAGTTCGCGGCCGATTCCAAATTCATGAGCACAAAAGGTATGAGTTACTACTTCCATAAATCTGGATCGTTGCTGATAAATCTCAGAATTATGTGTTCCTTTGAACCCATCTCAATTTATCATTGAAATTAGTGCACAATTGGCACGCTCTGAGCCTCAGCTTACTGGTGACTTTCTCAACGAATTTTTCGTTGGATGGGAGAGTTTTCCGTACTCGCAAAGGCCCTTAAGCTTGGCGTACATGGCGCCCTGGCTACCAAGTCTAAGGACCCACCTCATACCCAATGAACCGGATAGTGATAAAGGAAGAGACAAAGTCGCAGTGATTTTCAGGAAGCTCATTGAAGTCGCCATATCTGATGTTGTTCTTAGCACTACTCTGGAACAAAGCATCTGGCCCACAATCTGTAAGGATGAAGTTTATATTGATATATTCTTGGAGGAAATTCTTAAGCCAGCTCTCAATTTCGGCATAGATGATGAGCGGACTGAAATTCTTGGTTCCATTCTTGCGTCGCTTGGCACAGTTACGATTCGTGGCAAACTAATATCAAGGCTTCGCAAGGCTCTCAATCGTACTTCACTCCGACCAACAAGGCATCTTCACGAAAATACTGTTTGGGGCGAAATTTGTGTTCTGTTAAGGCTTTCATTGTCTGTTTCTTTCGACAGCGGTGTCCAGTCCCAACTTTATCTCCCCGAAGTCTTCCATCTTGTCACTATGCTAGCTAACACAGGCCCGTCCGATTTGAGATTAATCGTCCATCGCTTGCTCGTCAATACTATACATGCTATGTGTACCACATTTGTGTTGGAGGAAAGCAAGCTTGCTAAATTGAAGATTTTGCTATCTTCAATCTCGGAGCCACGGCAAGAATCTCTGTTTAGCATAGCATCAAGAGACGGAGCATCTCTCCCTTCGTCACAAGACTCGGGACCTTCAGCATTATTAGCCACAGAATCACTTGCGAGCCTACTTTCCGACATAAGTATTGTGGCAGCCCCGACTGTTGATCTGTCAAACGCATGGCGTGCCAGGTGGATGAGCTTGGTTGCAAGCACTGCTTTCCAAAGCAATCCAGCCATTCAGCCCAGAGCATTTACTGTTATGGGCTGCTTGGCTCGCGAAGACGTCGATGACGATCTACTTTATCAAGTGCTCGTAGCACTCAGAAGTAGCATCAGTCGGTATATGGATGACGGTGACAGCGAAATGATGGTTGCTATAGTCACAGCTCTGACCAAAATGATGGATAAATTACCATCGGCATCACGCTATGGGACCCAACTATTCTGGCTTGCGTTATCCCTTGTAAGATTGGTTCCGATTGGACTTTTCAACTGCGCGGCAATGTTTCTGGATGCCGTCTTACTCAACATTGGAGCATCTGGTGAACTCGGTAACGGGCGCATGATTCAAACATTGTTACTAGGCCGAGCGCCTCTTGATGAAGCAGCAATACAGCTAGATGAGATATATGGAATCCATTTCACCGCAGAAAACTTCCATTTTGCAGTTTCTGCTTGCATGGTCAAAGGCATGACGGATTCATTGACAAGATCTACTGCTATGCGTGTTATCTCAACATTTCTCGACACGACCACCACCAATGCACCCGAAGGAATGTCATTCCCTCAAGATGTTAGTTGCATGCCATATCTTGGTCTTCTCCTGGGTCGAGCCCTTAATCCAGAAGATGCAGGGCATAGCTTATGGCTAGCAACTGCCACCCAAGGAGATCGTACCCCACATACAGAGCCAGATATGGAAAGTATAATGCAAATCGCGGGTCTCAATGAGAAGGAGTTGCTCCTTACTTGCGCCATTGGACTAGTCGACTTCCACTACTTAGACGATACCATACAAAACAGTGCATTTCAGTGGCTCAATAAACTTGCCATATCGTCGTCAAACGTTATGTTACGACTGTAAGTCATTTCTCCATGCTCTGTTACATTAAGACTATTATTAATCATGAGAAGGGCTGGTCCGATCACAAGCATATTAGACGACGTTCTTATATCTTGTCAGAATTCGATAACACTCGAATCTGCACATCAGTTACTACGCACTATTACCTCAAATCCTCAATTCTCGGCCGCAATGAGAGATGCTGATGTGTTAGATAGAGTATTGGGTAGTATAGGTTTTGGAGGGCTGTGGAAGAATTCGACGTATCAGGGCCATCATGAGGTCGCCAGAGAATGTACTACTTTGACTGACAGGCTCATTGAGGTATGCATCATTCTTTATTTTCTTGCCGGAACGTTGAAACTAACTTCAGATTGCAGCTTATTATAGCATAAATAGCACGAATGGATGGAATGGGGCTGTTTTAGGAGAAGGAGGGCGAGTTTGTGATTGGTCAAGTTAGTAGCTGATGACGGAAGCGAAATGAGGCACGAACCATGATTTATGATAGGATAAAACTGCTCCTTTGATTGTTTAGCATTAGCTTTAGGATAATTGATACCCTGTTCATACGAGTACTTGCTCCAGACCATAATCTAACATGAAGATAAGGCAAAGTTGTGTGAGCGCGGCTTGTGTGTTTTGGTGTACAGAGGACTTTGATGACGATAGTTTGTGGTTAAATGATTGCGAAGTCGAATACATATGCTTCGTTGATTCCGTGGTCATTCGGCGGTGTAATATCCATTGATGCAAGGAGAGTTTGGTAGTAGAAGTAACTAGCACTCTACGTACAGAACAAGTTTGAGCGGAGCGAGATCGAGAAATGAGGTTCACATAAATGCTGGAACTGTTGACCCCGAATGATGGTTGGCTCGGGATTGTTTACATGGTGGATGACAGATGTTCTGAATTTATCATCTGAAAGGCTGTTTTGAGTGATTAAACAAGCGTACTGAGAAGCAGGAGAATATGATGAGACTAAAGCTACGATAGTTGATGATGTACTCGAGTAGTCAATGATGCTATGGTTTGTTGTATTTCAAGTTTCTGATTCATTACACAGTAAGTCAACTACCCCACTTTCCGACCACCCCCTCTTTTCGACCACCTCAAAAACCACACCGCTTTGAGTAATTATAAAATTTATACTTTGAATAACTCAACAATGCTTTAATCAATTGATTTGAAATTTTGATATTATTATAATTGTGATATGAAGAATAGATATACCGAAGAAGATATCGCAGAGGCTCTTAGAGCGATTACAAATGGAGCAAGCATACGAAGAGCTAGCTTGGATTATGGTGTTCCACGTACCACACTTCACGATCGAATATATGGTGGAGTTTCGCATCAAAAAGGCGCCCAAATACTTCAAAAGTTATCTCCAATTCAGGAGAATCGACTAGCAGAATGGATATTAGTACAGGAAGCTCTTGGTACTAGCCCTACACATCGTCAAATCAGAGAGATGGCAGAGCACCTCCTTATTGTACGAGGGGAGGATCCCTCACTTGGAAAGAAATGGATACATAGCTTTTTTCGAAGGCATCCTAATATTGGAACTAAGAAGCAACATCAAATCGATTCTGCACGAGTTTCAGGTGCTACATCTGATATTATTAAGAAGTGGTTCCGGAACCTCGCAATCCCTGAAATCAAGGCTATTAAGCCGGCCAACAGATGGAATATGGATGAAGCAGGTATAATGGAGGGTCAGGGTCTTAATGGACTAGTAGTAGGAAGCACTGATCGAAGATTTATTCAAAAAAAGCAACCTGGATCTCGAATTTGGACCTCTTTTATAGAATGCATTTCAGCCAATGGAAAAAGCATTACTCCCCTTGTAATATATAAGGGAAAATCAGTTCAACAACAATGGTTTCCAACAGATTTGACTCTATTCAAGGGTTGGAACTTTACCGCTACAGAAAATGGATGGACTACAGATGCTACAGCTTTAGAATGGCTGAAAAAGATCTATATCCCTCAAACTACCCCTATTCAGCCGGAAAATTCAAGACTCCTCATTTTGGACGGACACGGAAGCCATGAAACTACAGCATTTATGTTAGAATGCTTTAATAACAACATATATCTCTTACTTCTCCCACCACATACGTCACACGTACTACAACCACTCGATTTATCTGTGTTCTCACCCCTAAAAAGTGCATATCGAATCGAACTTAATAAATTAAGTCTATTATCCGATTACTCACCAATTGGAAAGCGCAATTTCCTTTCTTGCTATCAGAAGGCTAGAATAGAAGGTTTAACTATTCAAAATATCAAGTCTGGGTGGCAAGCTAGTGGTCTTTGGCCCAAAAATATGGCTAAACCTCTTATGAGTCGACTTTTGCTTGAAAATAGCAATAGAGAGGTTTTATCACTTAATCCTGAATCTGATGATGATCCTATTCTTCAATGGAATATATATTCATCGTTTATTCAATGGAAAACCCCTCAAAAAGGAGCCGATATCAGAAAATATAGAGATATAATGATTCAAGAGAAGGAGATCGATTTGCCAACACGAAGATTACTATTTCGCAAGATTATAAAAGGATTCGATGCTAAGGATTATGAACTCTTAGAGGCAGAGAATAAGATTAGAAAGCTAGAATATCAATTAGATGAAGCATTACCTAGAAAAAGGCGAAAGGTTGTGGTATCTCCAAATTCGAAGTTCGCAGGGATTAGAGCTATAAGGCGTACACAAATTGAAGCTGGAGATCGTGAAGATGAGGTAGATGATAGCTCTAGTGCTATAGAAAGTGATTCTACAGGCGATTTCATTGAAGTTCAATAGTTATTGAGTTATTAAAGTTTTAAGTGTAGATAATATGAATTTTTTAGGTGGTCGGAAACAGGGGGTGGTCGGAAAGTGGGGTAGTTGACTTACCGTACCATCACTCAAAACAGCCTACATTAAGCTTTTAACAATGATAACATTTAGCCCTGGCTACTTATGTCTGAACACAGCACCATGATCATCATTGATCCTCTATAATAAACTCTGCTCCCCTCTCTGCAACCGCATATACTAAACTCTGTAGATTCCCTCTCACCAACAGTGGGAAAACACTAGCATCAATCACTCTTAACCCTTGGACACCATATACTCTGAATTTCTCATCAACTACCCCGCCCTTACCCAAAGGGAGCATGGAACAAGTACCAATGGGGTGGTATTCAGACTGCAGGTTTGCTTTGATGAACGATTCAATGTTGGTTTCATTGAGAGGGTAATAACCAGGCTGGTAGATAGTGCCATTTCCTTGAAGGTAGGTGGAGAGTGGAGAGACTGAAGCGAGGGATTGGAGGTGATACGCGATGGAGGTGAGGAGAGTGAGGTCGAAGGGGTGAGAGAGGTAATTGGGGCCAAGTATTGGGTAGACGGAGGGGGAAGAGGAGGCTACGTGGGTGGAGCCGCGGGAAAATGGGTGTTCGAGAACGCCTAGGAGACTGAGGAAGTTGCCAGGTGAAGATGCGAGGAAAAGCTGGGATGAGTCGTTGGACTTGAGAGGGGACATTCCACCACTTACAGTGAGTCTATGAAAGAGTGTTAGTTGAAGGGTTGGGGGAGCTGGCGGGCTATATGTGCAGTACATGTATCCAGATTCTTGAGTGGGACAACTTGATAGTTATCTGCCGAGTTTAGAAGTAAAGAAGTTCCTATTGAAAGCTCACTCACTCTTGTGTAACTGCCTCACCACAAAAATATTTCGCCTGTAATTCATACTGCTCTTTTAATCCAGGAGTGAGGGCATTTGAAAAGTTTGCAGGTGGTCTCAGGTTCCCGCAGCCAATTTGTGGACAAGATAAAAGCCCTGAACTTGCACCAGTGGTAGCAAGTGGACCAGTAGCATTGGCAACATATTCTTCATATGCAGCATCGAAATATGCAGGGTCTGTGAAATTGTCCAAGGTGGTTATACCAGTATTGACTTTGAAGCTGGGAGGCTTTGTTAGAAATAGTGTTAAAAAACGGCAGATCTAGACGCCTTACCCGATGGGGACGTAAACATGATCTTGTAAGTTCTCGCCCACATTTCTGTTGTCCACAAGGACTTCGATTCCTTGCTTCTTGAGAATATTAGAGTCTCCGATGCCTGATAGCTCAAGTACTTGAGGACTTCCAATCGAGCCTGCAGATAAGATTACTTCTTTCTTTGCGTGAGCAATAGTTCCATTTGAATATTGCACTCCATTTGCTGTATCTATATCATGACCCTTTTCGAGGATTATCTTTTCCACGAGTGCTCCAGTGATAACTTTCAAATTCGGTCGCTTTGAAGCAGGGAGATAATATGCAGTTGCTGCATAACTTCTCTTTCTACCGTCCAGGTCCAAGTTCAAGAGATTAGTGTACCCTCCTAAAGCTAAACCATCTCTTGGATCACCCTTCACTTCCAAACCAAGAGCTTGAAAAGTCCTAAGCCACGCTTCATCTATTGGACCATAGATATCCGGAAATGTGTTTAAAATTGTTCCATTCTCACCATGAATAGTTGGAACGACACTTTCAGTCTGTAGATCCTGCTCAATAACACATGAAGGTGAAACGAATCGCTCAGAGCGCTTGAAAAATGGATCTAGGGCTTCCCACGACCAATTCGCGTTCCCAAGCTCGCCCCAGCTATTGATATCTTGCTGAGAGGCATGCGTCCAATATAGAAAGTTTATAGCACTAGAACCTCCAAGTTGTTTGCCTCTTGGATGGGCTATAACTTGATTGTTTGCGTGTATCTTTGAAAGTTGTCAAGGTTCACTCCTCTTGAGGGAAAATAATATCGAACCTACTTGTGGGACAGATTTGTAGTTCCAGTCATACTCGGCATTGCCATACATGCCGGTATATAGACCGGGTGCAAGTACATTAATGTCACTTGAGTGGTCAGTCCCAGCTTCTAGGACAAGCACAGAATTCTGGGGATCTTCACTCAGACGGCTCGCTATTGTTAGGCCGGCTGTACCGCCGCCAATTATGCTAGAAGGGGTCAATTTACATTATGACGCGGAAGACTTCCTGTAACTCACATATAATCATAGGTTGGAACGGCCTGGGAAGTGGTAGCAGTGGAGAAGAGTGCCTGAAAGCAAAATGACTTAAACAATGACTGGAGAACTGCCATTGTATCAACACGAACATTCAGAACAATTCGGCAAATCGAGATATCTGAGCTTCGCACCCCTAAATATACTTATTCTCACGACTTCGGATCATGCACTGAGTACGATTTGTAATCAACAGTATCACCAAATTGATACTCGGCGTGTGTTTATGTGCAGCTGAAGCTTGGAAGAATGAAATGTGATCAAAAAATATCTATCCGCAAGCAAGGGCTCGGCAATCCGTAACAGAACAAGTCAAGATACCAAATACCCGTTGGAAGGAAAGCCTAGGTAGACCATCTTAGGATATTATGACCTTCCAATCAGTCATACTGTTTGTATCCGTAACCTGAGAGCTACTGCAGGCTCAATACGGACTCAATGCATTACGATTACTAACATGATGATTGAGTAGATCTTGATTGAAAACATAAAAATCATGCTATACAACCGAGCCGTCTGATATGATTACTTGTCGTCCATTTCGGGAGGGTTGGAATCAATAGTTACGGCGATGAACTCGATGGTGAGACATTTGGATATTAAAAGGTTTAGCGGGTGGTTTCACGCAAGGCTGACTGACAGCCTCGATATCACCAGGTTTGATTGGCTAAGTGACAATCAATTTTGACTCATACGAAATTCGGTGCCCGCCCCTCGTTTCGACCCCGCCAAATTTATATCCACAGGAAACTACTTCTCACATTCTTGAGACTTTCCATAAACTCAAACAGAAGCAAATATGGATTTCCCAAAAGAAGAAGAAGAAGTTCTCAGAAAGTGGAAGGAGATTAACGCTTTCGAGCGACAACTCGAGTAAGTCAACCTGCAACAAATGTAAACAAAATCAACATGTCCTGACATTGTTTATTTTGATTGTAGACTTTCTGAGGGAAAGCCTCGATATACCTTTTATGATGGACCTCCTTTCGCGACCGGTTTACCTCATTATGGTCACTTACTCGCATCTACCATCAAGGATATTATCCCTCGATATTGGTCAATGAAGGGCTATCATGTCGAGAGACGTTTCGGATGGGACACACACGGCTTGCCGATTGAACACGAGATTGACAAAAAGTTTGGTATTTCTGGAAAGGATGCTGTCATGAAGATGGGACTGGCAAAATACAATGAAGAGTGTAGAGCTATTGTTATGCGATATTCGTCGGAATGGCGCACGACAATCGACCGATTAGGCCGTTGGATCGATTTTGATAATGACTACAAGGTAGGTCTTTACAGAAGCGGATTGGCATCTTCAAGCTGACAATCTTAGACAATGGACCCCAAATTCATGGAATCAGAGTGGTGGGTATTTAGTGAAATTTTCAAGAAGGGATCTGTCTACCAAGGCTACCGAGTTATGCCATACTCGACAGTTCTCACCACAGCTTTGAGTAATTTCGAAGCAAACCAAAATTACCAAGATGTCACGGATCCGGCAGTTGTCGTTTCTTTCCCACTATTGAAGGACCCCTCAACATGTCTTTTGGCATGGACAACCACTCCTTGGACCCTTCCATCGCACACTGGTTTAGCCGCGCATCCAGATTTCGAGTACGTCAAAATTCATGACGAAGCCTCCGGAAAGAACTATATCTTGTTGGAGAAATTACTCGGTACACTATACAAGGACCCCAAGAAAGCCAAGTTCAAGATTGTGGAAAAGATCAAGGGTAGAGATATGCTTGGTTGGCAGTATGAGCCGCTTTTCGATTATTTCTATGAAGAATTCAGGGAGCATGGATTCAGGGTCTTGAACGCTGCATACGTCACTGACGACAGTGGTGTTGGTATTGTTCATCAAGCACCAGCTTTCGGAGAGGAAGATTACAATGTCGCAATGGAAGCCGGCATCATCAACGAGCAGCGACCAGCTCCTTGTCCAATCAATGAGACCGGCCACTTCACTGAGCAAGTTCGGGATTTTGCTGGTCTTCATGTTAAAGCAGCCGACAAAGCCATCATTAAATATTTGAAGGGAACCGGACGTCTAGTTGTCGAATCCTCTATTAAGCATAGTTATCCTATGTGTCCGCGATCAGACACCCCATTGATCTACCGAGTTGTTCCTTCTTGGTTCATCAGAATTCCCGAAATTGTTCCTGATATGCTGAAGAACATTGAAGGATCGCACTGGACTCCATCCTTTGTCAAGGAAAAGCGTTTTGCGAGTTGGATCGAAAACGCCCGTGACTGGAATGTTTCGAGGAATAGATATTGGGGAACGCCAATCCCAATATGGGTCAGTGACGACTATGAAGAGAAGGTATGCATCAGCAGTATCGCCGAGTTGAAGGAGCTCAGTGGCTATGAAGGCGAAATTACCGACCTCCACAGAGATAAGATTGATCACATCACCATTCCAAGTAAGATGGGTAAAGGCCAGCTCAAACGTATTGAGGAGGTCTTTGATTGTTGGTTTGAGTCTGGCAGCATGCCATATGCCAGTCAACATTATCCATTCGAGAACAAGGAGAAATTTGAGCAATCTTTCCCTGGTGATTTCATCGCAGAAGGTCTTGATCAAACTAGAGGATGGTTCTACACCCTTCTTGTCTTGGGTACACATTTGTTCGGCGTTTCGCCTTTTAAAAACTGTGTTGTCAATGGAATCGTGCTTGCAGAAGATGGCAAGAAGATGTCAAAACGCTTGAAGAATTATCCCGATCCTGGCATTGTCATGGACAAATATGGTTCTGATGCTTTGCGTTTGTATCTCATCAATTCCCCAGTTGTAAGAGCTGAGCCATTGCGTTTCAAGGAGGCTGGAGTCAAGGAAGTTGTGAGCAAGGTTCTTTTGCCTTTGTGGAACAGTTACAAGTTTTTCGAAGGACAGGTAGCATTGCTTAAGAAGATGGAGAACGTCGATTATGTATTCGATCCTACTGCCGAAGCCACTAACACCAATGTTATGGATCGATGGATTCTTGCTAGTTGTCAGAGTCTTCTAAAGTTTGTTAATCAGGAAATGGCAGGTGAGTCGATCCTTCATAATTCCTTCTGTGAGTGATGACTAATAAATTCAGGTTACCGTCTTTACACTGTCGTTCCTAGATTACTAGATCTCATTGACAATACTACAAATTGGTACATTCGTTTCAATCGTAGACGTCTGAAGGGTGAATCTGGTCTAAACGACACTAAGCACGCACTTAACACCCTCTTCGAAGTCCTTTTCACTCTAACCAGAGGACTCGCTCCATTTACACCATTCCTTACAGACAACATTTATCAACGACTGTTGCCTCACATTCCCAAGGAGTTGCAAGCTGAGGATCCACGAAGTGTACACTTCTTGGCTTTCCCAGATGTGAGAGAGGAACTCTTTGATGTAGAGGTTGAGCGTCGTGTAGGTCGCATGCAACGTGTTATTGAGTTGGGCAGAGTTTCTAGAGAACGTCGCACAATTGGTCTTAAGACCCCTCTGAAAACTTTGATTGTCATCCATCACGACCCAGTTTATCTTGAAGATGTCCGTTCTTTAGAAGGCTACATTACTGAGGAGCTCAATATCAGAGAACTTATCCTCACCTCGGACGAAGCGAAGTACAACGTACAATACAGTGTCAATGCTGATTGGCCAGTCCTTGGAAAGAAGTTGAAGAAGGAAGTTCAAAAGGTCAAGAAGGCTTTGCCAGGATTGACTAGTGAGCAAGTTCACAACTACGTGTTAGAGAAATCAATTGTTGTCGATGGTATCAAGCTCGAAGAGGGTGATTTGGTTGTCAAGCGAGGTCTTAAGGATGATGAATCTTCCAAGAACCTCGAGACCAATACAGATGAGGATGTTCTTACTATCTTAGATGTTGAACTCCATGCAGATCTTGCAGATGAAGCATTGGGCCGCGAGATCATTAATCGTGTGCAAAGATTGCGCAAGAAGGCCGGTCTTCAACCAACGGATGATATTAAGATGGAGTACAAGGTCTTAGAAGATCCTTCAAGCATTGGTCTACGTGAAGCTTTTACTAGTCAAGCACAGGCCATTGAGAAAGCATTGAGAAGACCTTTGAACGAAGCAGAAGGAAGTGCAGCAGAAGAGAGTGTCATTCTGGAAGAGGAACAGGAGATCCAAAAAGCTACATTTTCACTCAGGTTGTTAAAGTTATGATTTGATGTTTGATAGAAAATAAATTCGGGTATGAACAGACATTCTAGATATCTATCTTTTTAGCTTATAAGTACTTTCATGAAAGCATTAGGGTCATTGCATAAGGTCTGTTCATTTCACAAATTCGCGACAGTTAGGCAAAAGCGTGATAAAATGCTGTATACATACCAAACTTTGCTTCGAGTATGTTTAAAACTATGACATAAAACTTCACATACAGCGATGCAAACAGATACGCATTTAGTAGGACAAGACGACAGATAGAATACGGCTCTTGAATGAATTAAATCTTCCCTCTAAGAATAGTTGAACGAATCTGCTCTACTTCTTTTTCGCGGCAATCTAAATAGGTAAATATAAGTCATGAATAGTACTAGTGAAAATGTGAGTTGAAACACTCACCAAATAACAGTCTTTCAATTTCATGAATTCCGCAAGACATTTGTCTTTGTGAACAGAATTGTAATCGGCTACTATGCATTTGCCGTATAGGGAGGCCTATGATTGGGGTTGTCAGTTTTTGATGAGGCGATGATGAGAGGGGCAGTAATGGATTGTGAAGGCGAAGGTTTAAAAGTGCGAGGTATTAAGGGGATTAACAGCGTGAAGGATAAAGGTAGGGGATGAATGTGTGATGGATGGGTGGTGGCTAATAATGGGGAGGTTGTAGAGGCGAATGATGTGTGTATGTATGGAGGGGTACGGTCTGAAGCGGGATGGATGTTGAAGGGAAAATCGTGTGAAGCGGGATCAAAGTTAGACGAAGAATCAAATCAAATCGTACCTCTGTAGAGCATTTAGCAACGGCTTGTGCAAATTTCTCAATTGGTCTTGTTTGAGTCGTTCGTGGAGGCATGGTTTGTGAGGATATAAACTTGTTTTGTGTTTGGTGACGATGATAGTGGTTGAGTGGTGAGTAAGGCAAGAAAGTAGTGAGGTACCAGTAACTGGGTGCTTGTAATGACGACTAATAATGATCACGTGAACCTTTACTATTGGTGATTGCTGTGAGTGATGTTGTAGTGAAGACTAAAAATTATGATAGAGTTCAGATACCTACCTTCGTAGTATGGTAATTCATTGGTACATGATGCTACGAAAGAGAAGTCACAAAGGACGGAGCTTGATTTCAGTAGATCCGATGATCAGTCATCGCGATAAGACATGTTATCGATCCAATCAGAAGTATGGTAGTCGAAGTTCGCTTGATATAGCTTTAAATACAGGGCCACCTAGCTTCAATTAGCGCCAGAAAGCTTCAGCACCAAAATTCGACTGGTAAACTTTATTCTCGTCGCGTCCGACAATTCCATTTCATACCTCCCA